ATATTCTGAGATTTATGCCCTCGCAGAGTTACAGATTAGATCTAAATGGCCTCGTCGCAGCGCCGTTTAGCTACTGCAGCCACGATTTGAGTTGTGTTAATTCCAGCTGTTGGGTCAAAAAACTCTAGAAGTGCTAACATAATGTAAATATTTAATAGACTATTGCCATTTAAAAGATTAACAGCTCTCCAGCAGCTCTTGGGATGGGCGGAGCTGGGTTGCCGTTCCCTGGTTTCCATCAAGTCAATGAATTTTAGCACTGATCTCCCTGGAAAGCTGATCTAAGCCTCTTAGTCCTACTCCGTAGAGTAAGCTTGGCTCCGTGCAGGTTACTTGTCCCGCAGTCCCCAGCGCAGCCTTGCTTTTACCTAAATGTAGGTCAGCCCCAGATGAGGACAACCGAGCCGAATTTACCTTTCTACTGCCATGCAAACGTGTGCTGGAAAGAAAAGCAGCGTGGAGAGAATAGAAGGGTGCTGCAGAAGGAATTAGCTCACTGACTCTCTGCTTCCCCGTGAAGATGACGAGAAGATAATCCAGGAGATTCAGAAGGAAGCCGAAGAGGAACAAAGGAAGAAGAATGGAGGTAAGTCACAGTCTTCCTCTGTGCTTTGAGATCAGACTGAGGACGACAGGAGACCGAAGGGTTCCCAGCTCCCGGCAAGTCTCTGGATCTTCGTCGGCTTCTTCCCACGGCCTGGCTGCGTGCAGGCTTCTTCGTGCATCACCCAAATCTTGCTCCAGAGAGGGTTTGCAGACCATCACCCTGCTCCTACTGGCAACTCTTGTAGCTTTAGAGTGGTGTTGCTTGCAGGCTGTAGCTAGGACCGTGGGGAGATGTGTTCAGCGCTCACGTGGTGCCGTGGGTGCACAGGCCTGTCTCCTCTCCCCTTGGCAGAGTAGCTGAAGGGCAGCATAACCCCTGTGGGGGGGGGCACAGGGGCATGCGAGGGGCTGTCTGACATCCCTGCAGAAGGAGGTGTTGCCCCTTCGTGAGAGGGAGCCAAGCTGGAAAGCCGGGGCTGTGCTCCGTGGTTCCTGGAGCACGGAAGGGGCAAGCAGCGGTGCTGTGGAGCCTAAGGAACACGCTGGGGATGGAGAGTGCGCATGGACTGCTCTTGGTGAGTTGTTCCTTTGTGGGATGACTGGTTCCTTTCTCTCCTCCCTCCGCAGAAAACAGCTTCAAGCGGATCGGCCCTCCCGCAGAAAAACCCGCCGAGAAAATCCAGAGGATTGAAGTCATCCCCAGACCTGTTCCTCAGAATCTCCATCAACCCCGGATGCCCCCTTACCCCTTTGTGCACCCTCCCTTCCCGCTCCCTCCTGTCCGTCCCATGTACAACAACATCCCCCTCAACATCGGCCCCATCCCTGCCCCCTACGTCCCCCCGTTACCGAACATGAGGGTGAATTACGATTTTCCCCAGATCAACGTGCAGCTGGAGCGCAACTTACCTATGCACTTTGGTCCTCAGCCTCGCCACCGGTTCTGACCCGCTCCCGACGGCGCTGGGCACGGAGTCACTGCAGGGCAGAGCCACCCCGGTAACGTCACCCTCCCCGTCCCTCTCTGACTCGGGGACCCTCTCTGACTCGGGGACCCACGCTGCACCCCTCTCCTGAGCGTCGCTGAACCGAGTCAATCTAGTGTTTTTAGCATTTCTCACTCTGCAAGTGGAGTGAGGGGGTGCAGCACCCGTCTCGTGGCCAAGATCCCGGTGGGAAGCCCAGAGCCGTGTTCTCTCAGGACTTTCATAAGTAGCAGAAGACCCGGGCACCCTAATCTCCGGCTGAACTGAATTTGCAGCCTTTGAAGGGCCCAGGTTTTTGGTTTTTTTCTCCCAGAGCTGGGTGCCTCTCAGCTTCCAAAACGTGGCCTTTGCTTTGCCCTTCTCATCTGCCATCCCAAATCCCCCCCTGCTTCTGGCAGCAGTCCTCAGAGAGCTGGTAGAAGCACCCGGAGCCCAGGCTGCGCCCCCCACTCCAAATTTGCTCGGGCAAACACCCGGTGAGACGTGGAGGCAGCGGGGCGTGATGTGGGTGCCGTGGCAGAAAAATTAGGAACTA